CATGGTGAACCTCAAAAATGTATTCCCCACTATCTTTCTTTTCTGCATGAAGCACCTTTAGGACTGAGACAGTATCTGTAACACTGATCTTATATTTTGGCCCCTTCTCCCCTTCTCCCCTTCTCCTCTTCTCCTCTTCTTCTCTTCTCTTCTCTTCTCTTCTCTTCTCTTCTCTTCTCTTCTCTTCTCTTCTCTTCTCTTCTCTTCTCTTCTCTTCTCCTCTCCTCTCCTCTTCTCTCCTCTCCTCTCCTCTCTTCTCCTCTCTTCTCCTCTCTTCTCCTCTCTTCTTTCCTTCACTTATTAAACTGTCTTTAAATCACTTATGTGCTTCCAATTCTCTCTCCCAACTCTCTGTGGGGGCAAGTGAGTGAATGACAGTGTAGGAGCTTACTGCCAGCCGGGTCAATCCAGCACACAGTTTGTTGGGAAATGTGAATGCTATTTTGAGAGTTGAAATACCAGTAAACATCTGTTCTTAGTAAACAACTTTTATTATAATATTCAGAACTTAACCAGATTTCAGATATTCCCTTGTTAAATTTTGCAAAATTTTTTTTAGTGTCAATTATTTATCAGTGAAATAGTGGAAACATAAAAACTTTATGTCTTGTCTAGCAAAGCACTTATATGTATATTGCTCTTCAAGCTTAGCTGACATTCTAAAAAATAAGCTGAGGCTTAATGTTTGCCTCAGTGAGAATAGTATTACTCAATGGTATTATTAAATGGTATTTAATCTTTTGCTGGATCTACAAATAAGAAGGTCACTTTGAAGTATATATATTTACAGGAGTGAAAGGAGGAATTTTAAGAAATCCGGTGTATTTAACCTTAATTTGATAAAAAGCATAAAAAGAAAAAACCTGTCTCTGTGCAGTTATATCCACTTGACTGGATTGCAAATTACTGTCTGGCTGAGCTCCGTATCTCTTTTTATTACAATTTCAGCACAGTTGCATGGTTAAAGAGTAGAGGAAAAACAGCCCATGTTTTAAGTAATGTTGCTTATATTTCTGCTTAGCCAAGGAATTAATAGCTGGGCTCTAGGGAACAAGGTTGGCATCTGGTTCATGGCACGATTGAGAGTGCTACTACAGAAGCTAGAATACTAGTTATCTTATTAATAAATTGCTCTCGTGCATATTTATCATGTACTACATCTTCCATCAGAACTATTCTTCCTGTGCAGAAGCTTTATTTATGGTTCTAATTCCTTTTGCATTATTTGTCTACAGTGACCAAAGATGAACACTGAAAGGCAGATGTACTATATAAAATAACGCCTGGCTGATTGACTGACTGAATCAATAGTCACATTTATACTGTATATATCACTCAAGGTCCCCTCAGGGCTTTCTGGTAATTACAAGAAGCAACAAAATATTACCTTAAAGAGCCAAGGTAAATGCTAAATCCTGAATTTATTAGCCTGAGAACTCTGCTTCAGCACTCTCCAATCTTAAAGTACCGAAGCAAAAAACTTTTCATGCATCACGTGGTTTAGAAATAGCAACCAGGGATTTTTAACAATATGGTGGAAAGATAGCATGGAAAAGATAGACGTATGGAGAGAAAATAATAATATGACTCTACTTCAGATTTAATTTGTTGCCAAGAGGAATAGTTTTACGGCTTCGTTTTCATCAGAACTGCCACCCCTGCCCATGCTGTCACAGCAACTCACTGGATGTTGTTGCCATAGTGACAGCAAAGGGGAGGGGGGGACGACAACATCTGCTTTTTGCAAAAGGAGTCTAACACTGACAATGATCATGTCAAAATCATTAGTTTAATATAACTACACCACTGTAAATCAAATTCAGTTTCCCTGAAGTTGGTGAAGTTGTGCT